GTTTTCAAAGAAGAAAAATCTGAGAAGAATAGATTGGGCAGTAAAATAAAAAATTTTTAATTCTTAAGATGAGACAAAGTCTCTCAAATTAAGTATACTTTCCAAATTATAAACATATATTACCTATGTATGCACAATCAAATATTACAACTAAAATAGCACTTAGAAAGAAAACAACAATTTATTTGATATTTTTTACTTTCTTTCTTTAGGAGTAATTAAAAAAAAAAATCAAGCACAAGTTACTGTATAGTCAAGGACAACCCCCTGTTTCTGAGAACAAGGACGCTTTGAAAGGGTTTCCAGTGCCTGCGACCTTTCAGGTCTTTGTTCCAAGGTGTCTTTGAGTGGATATGAACCACAACCTTATGGTTCGCAGCCTAGCACTTAAACAGATAAAAAGGTGTAGATGAGTAAATTAGCTATCACAAACTCATTGTATTAAGTAGCTAAAATAAAAGATGAAAGGATCATACACAACCCTTTTTCAAAACTAAATAGAAATCAACCATTAGACCTATGACATTAAACACATGACAGTGTTTCAGGATTACAGGCGTTAACCATTATTTCTCTCTGATGATGGACAGCACTCTTCTTTGCAAGGCATCTCAGTCAGTTATTGCCTTTACCCAGCCTGAACTCCAGTGGTGGAGACCCATAGCAGGACCAAATTCTAACGCAAGCCATCCAATATCTCAAGGTACAGTGGGGGCAAGGTTCAAAAATTCTTACAATAAAGGCTTTCAAATTTTTCTAACTTCCTCCTATTTCTCAAGATGTAAGTAATATACACAGTAAAAAAAGACTACTAAGATTTCTCTAAAACCATATCAACAGCTAAATTTACAAAGGGTAGTTGTGTCTACCTCACAAAAGCTTTTGTTTAATAAAATATTCTCAGGAAAAGTGCTAAATTAATTGTTAGCAATCATTGTAAAATGATTGTTAATTTAAGGATGGGCAATTTTTCTTTCAAAATAAAACAAAATATTGAAAGACAAAGTTACTTCTAAAACTTGCGCATCCATAATTTTTTTCAAGATCATTTTATTGGGGCCTCTTACCGCTCTTATAACAATCCATACATCAATTGCATCAAGCACATTTGTACATACATTGCCATCATCGTTTTCTAAACATTTACTTTCTATTTGAGCCCTTGTTATCAGCTCTTTTTTCCTTCCCTCCCCACCCTTCCACCCTTGTAACCCCTTGATAAATTATAAATTATTGTTATTTTCACATCTTACACCGACTGCCGTCTCCCTTCATCCATGTTTCTGTTGTTCATCTCTTCCCCACCCCCAAAGCCCACCCACCCCCGCCCTGGGGGGGCAGTATGTGACAATCATTGCAACTGGTTCCCCCTACCCTTCCCCCTACCCTCCTGGTATCACTACTCCTATTTCTGCTCCTGAGGGGTTTATCTGACCTGGATTCTGTGTGTTGTGAGCTCTTATCTGTACCAGTGAACATGCGTCAGTCTAGGCAGAACTGAAAGGCAGGACTGCGGTCATGATAGAGGGGGGTGGTGAGGAAGCCTCAAAGAACCAGAGGAATATTCTGTGCGTCATTGGTGCTATACAGCGCCCTGGTTGGCTCATCCCTTCCTTGTGACTCATTGTAAGAGGATGTCCTATAGTCTACAGATGGGTTTTGAGTCTCTGATCCGACCCCCCTTGTTCTCAACAATATGATTTTGTTGTTGTTTTGGGTCTTCTGATGCCTGTTACCTGATCCCATCGACACGTCTCATGATCACATAGGCTGGTGTGCTTCTTCCATGGTGGGCTTTCTGGTTCTCTGCTAGATGGCCACTTATTTAACTTCAAGCCCCTAAGACCCTAGATGCTATAATCTTTTGATAGCCAGACATTATCAGCTTTCCTTATCACATTTGCTTATGCACACATTTTGTCTTCAGCGATTGTGTCGGGAAGGTGAACATCACAGAATGCCAGGTTGTTGGAACGAAGCGTTTTGGGTTGAGGGAGGGCTTGAGCAGAGGCCCAAAGTCCATCCACTTCCTCAACGTATTGCCATATAAATATATGTACATAGGCCAATATCTCTATTTTGATTAATTAATATATTTACCTCTAGCCAAAGCTTTGCTTCCTAGATCTTTCCTGTGTTTCCGTTTACCTTCCTCCCGCCCCACCACCACTGTCCCTCTTCTCCTGCCTTACTAATCCCGCTCAGCTAGACTGCTGCTGCACACCCATAATTTGAATGATGGGTGAGAAATAAAAGGATGAGCTCTCCTTGGCTTTGCCTCTTTAAAACCTTAACTTATTTGACAAGTTTTTACCAGGAACTTTTCCCACTGATTTTCTTACCTCACTTTTTGAGAGGAAAAATCACTTTCCAGAAGAAAATTGTACCAATGGGGAAACAGGAAACAAATATGGTAAAACTCAATTAATTGTCTATTGGTAGAGGGAAAGGAGGTGAAAAGACTGCATGAAGCAGAAGGGGTGCCTGGTGGTTACAGTCAGGCACTAGGTCCTTGGTTAATTTGCTGCTTACACTTCACCACTGAAAAATGCATCTGCTATTTTTTTTTGCATCTGCTATCAAATTAGAAAAGAATTCAAATCATAATTATTAGTTCCCATCTTCAATGCCCAATTTATTTTCTAAATATTCTTGCAATTATTAAAAATGATTATGGTCAAGATGTAGGGAACAGGGCTGGGAGTAAGACTTACCATGTTTATCTTTTTATAGTCATTTGATTTTTAAGCCAGTACACAAGTAACGAAAGCAAATTTAGGTTTAAAAAAGCAGTGTTTCTTGCTCATGCTGATGTCGTTATGTACTTGAGGGGTGTGTGTGTATGTGTGTGTGTAAACTAGTTTATGACAAGGTTAGTTTTGCAGCATAATAACAATCTGGTTCCTCAAATGAACATAAAACTGGGACAGCTACAAGACTGTGCACCGTGGAGAGGAGGCCAATTTTCCTGATATATCCCTCCACGTGCCGAACCCTAATCCTGACATTCTCAATGGATCGACAGACCACGTTTTCTTAAAAGCTGACGACACATGCACAGAATAAAGCCCAGAAACACTATAGTCTACTCTGAACGATGACGCGTGGCCTCTGCAAATATCGAGCAGGCTGCACTGCCTGCTCTTCCTTATGGCGAGTTATCATTTGCAGAAGCAAAAGCAAGAGAATGAGGGAAGCAGTTAGGACAGGGGCACCTGAGCTGGCAGAGAGCCCTGGCCGGGTTCACAGAGGAGCCGGCAGAGCATGCAGGGAGACACTCCCCCAGAGTTGGGGATCTCTTTAGATAGCCCATCGCTTTTCTTCTGCTTTTGAAGTCTAAGATTATTACAAAGGCCAGACGCCTCACTGGTCCTCTCAAGTCTACCCCCACCCCTTTTCTCATGGCGTCACACCTTAAGGGCAGAGAGCTAAAAGCAAAGTCCCAGGAGACTGGTGGGAGAGGGCAATAGAGAGATATCATCAGTCGAAAGTTTCCCTCACTAAAATAAAGCCCACCCAAGTCCATGGAAATGACTAAGCTGGAACCATTCGCAGGAGCCTGCGCAAAAGCTGAAAGTATATCCCAAATACGGAAAGCCTCCTATCCCATAGTAAGAGCAGACCTTATGTTTTCCCCCAAGAAAGAGCTCAATTAGAGCCAGAGTCAAACAGCCTGCTCAGCATAGCCCAGAGCCCCCTATATTCAGTGACATTCTGACATAGTCGAGCACAGTGTTATACTCCGGCACACAGAGTAAGGCACGGCACACAACACCAAAAAAAAATATCTCACAGGCATGCGGATTCTCTTTTTAAACAAAAGAAGAAACTAGAGGGCAAGAGAACGCTTACCTTCTAAACATGAGAAAAAGAATAAAACAGACAAGAGAACAAACACAAAACAAAAAAAGATGCATAAAGAAATCTTAACAGGAAAGTGAACATTGTCAAGTATGCAACAACAGGATTAAGTAAAATATCAGAGACTTCAAAAGGTTTTACTACGTCGATTTAAAATTCAGTCTGAGAACTCGTTCAAGGACTCATGTCAATGAGAAGACACCTCTAGAAACAAACTATACTTCAGACGTGCTGAGGAATCTCCTTTCCATAGTAAGGTCAGCTTTCTGAGCAACAAGAAAAAGGGCTGGTGATATTCGGCCCCAACCTTGTCCTTACCGGATAGGTTTCCTAGAGGACAAACGTGGCCTTAGTGGGCACAAAACAGAAGTCTTACTACAGAATCCCCGTTAGCTCTGACAGCGGGTGCCTTATATACAGCAAGTGGGTCACACCCAGGGGAGGCGGGTGATCAAGGAGAGTGTGTTCGCCCGACTGTGCCTCCGTTCTCCAGAGCGGACGCTTTGTTCAGGGGGATGGTGCAGAACACAAACCACCCTGACGGGGATCGAGAAGGAATCCACCCACCCCCTGGGAGTCTATAGAGGTTCTAGGCAGAGAAGAGGGCCTTCAAACTGATGAATTTGAAAACTAATATTTTAATCAAGACCAAAAACAATAGATAATGAAGGGGCATATTTAGAAAAGTCTGGAGTTTCCTGTGCATCAAAGTTGGTTGAGGAAAAGTTTTCCATACAGCCTAGTCACAGGGGCCTTCTGTATCTTTTTAAATCACCGGTTAACAACCACCCCCATGTAAGGCAGAGGCTCTGGACCCAGCCCTCCACAAGGGGAGTGTGAACCGCTCTAGAATTCCTCCACCACCCCAACACCAGGTTAGAGGGAAAGCGACCCTCCCCCTATTGGATCGAACAGACAAAGCATGCTGATTTGATCTACCTTGCTAAGAAAGGAAATTTACAAATGTAGCAAGTAGCTCTGGAAATGAAAGTGAAGAACGTGCTTTCTCAATTTCGTAGTAGTCTTATGCCACACACAATTACAATTACAAGTTAACTGTGCTACGGGAGACGATTAAAACCCTTAGGCTAGCAGATCTGAGGACTGTGCTTCTTTCCCTCTAAGGGACCGACACTCACCCTGCTGGCCCAGGCATCCTCATCCCAAGAAGTGAGTTGCAGCACGCGAATGATCTCGTTAATTTCGGCACTCATCTTTTCGACAGTAAAATTGCGATTTTTCAAAGCTTCTTCTATTCCTTGGTTTTTTGAGTTTTTAGTTGTTACGAAAATTTTCATAGCTAGAAAAATTAATGGGAAAAAAACACCCAGAAACTAAGCTTGGAATTAAATTTTTACATAACATTATCTACCCACGATGCTCAATACATGCTTTGGGCTTCAAATGTCTTAAGAACATACAAAATAAACACTGCTGTTTTTGAGTAATGTCCTAGGACCAACACTCTTCACTGTAAAGAAAAAATCAAGTACAAAGCATATCACAACATGATTGGAGAAGTAATTCAATGTGCATCAACTCAGAATCACAAAATATCGAATCTTCTCCCAAATCAATTCTCACACAGACCCCATCCAGTGCAAACCTAATGGGACAGCAATGAAAACACTCAGTAAAACTGGGAAGGAGTAGACCGCTGCTGGCCCCAATCCCAAAGAAGATCCCAAGGCATCCCGGATTTCTCTCAACACGTAGCAGTCACTTTCTGACCCCCGAGGAAAGTGTGTGTGTGAACCAAACAGTAAAGAAAGAGAATATATTTCGCTAAAATAATTAGGAAACTAAAGATTAACTGACACTTTATTGACTTACTCAGGTAAGAAAGACACCCTCTTGCCAACCACCCCCCTCCCATATAAAAAAGTTGGCCTCAAAACGTATTTCCTTGGTAATTACAATATTCCAAACAGACAGGCAGCAGCTGGAAGGTCGCAGTGATGTGTCTCATACAATGTGAAAATAACACGGCCCTTGGCGAGTTAAATTAATATGCCCACAGCTGCGGTATTGCATGCAAACCAGGAGGCGTCTGGCACATTCTAGAGGCTCAATAAGGGCCATTCCCTGTCCAGAGTTGAGAGAGCAGTCGCCACGGTTGCATTGCTGGGCTCTGCCCAATGGGAAGGTGATCCCAGCTGGTGGCTGCAAAGCTGATCCGGTCACAACGCAGAGAATAGTTAAATGTCTTTTATGTAAAATTGTATTCATACAACTTGAAAAGGGGTTCTAGTTCAATTCTTTATCACAGTAACCGATAATGTCCATTCCAGCTCTTAGTTGTTTTCTATCATGCAAATGAAGGTGTCAAAATGCATACACAAGAGCTTCTAGAAGTGATGCCACCTTGCAGGAAGAGAGCCTAGTAGGGTTTTAGAACAGAACTGGGCCACAGAAGGAACGTTGCAAGCCCAAAGCACATTAGAGAAGAAGAGAGTACTAGAGTACTGGTTCTCAGCCCATCAACCACTGGCATCACATGTAGCTAATCAATATATCTTACTTTGATCCAATCTGAAAAGTATGTAATAGAGCAACAAACAAAAACGAACTCAGAATTTACAACATGTTAACTTTTCTTCCTTGTAAAATTAAAGTGGAGACAGGGAATACCTGAAATGAGAACAGGCAGCAATTCTTTGACGGTGTTCATTGAGTTCACCAGCATCACTCGGTGCTCCTGGTGAGTGAGCTCCTGTTGTCTCTCATCAATCATTTTGGCCATCTTTGTCATTCCTTGGGCATAAAGGATACATTGTACGGGTGAGGAGTGCACCGATCCAGGGCTCTGGATCTTCTCAGCCTAACGCTATTATTCACAATTATAGACAGCCAACTGTCCACTTCAGGACAGGACATACATTATCACAACTCTAGCATCTATAATCAGGCTGTTCAGGGCAGTTCTGACAATATAATTTTATTTTTTTCAATAAATAATAAATATAGTCAATGTACATCTTCCATATAATGTGATTTTTTATGTTTGGCATAGTAAGTACATTCACAAATGAAAACGATATCTACATAAATTAAAATTTGAAATATTTTTGGGGAAAAAATCCATTTATAAGTCAGGGCAAAAAAATTGCCAGCCAATCATTGATAGCGGTTTAAGGACATGTATTTGTAAACAATTCCATATGAACCTAGTACCAAGAATCTGGTGGCTGAAAAAAAGTCTTAAAAATTACATATGTGTTTTGTTTGCATCTTCGTGTGTTTTTCCCTGTACTTTCCAATTCGTCCAATATAAGCATGTACTGTTTTTATAATTTAAAACAAATATAAATATTGTAAAAATAATTGTGGCGATGACAGTGTTAAGAAGCATCTGATGTTTTGGGATCAGCCTGCTAGCACTTTCGATTTCCTTTGGTTATTATTCAAAGGTGCTATGTAATTCTCTAAGACTCTGATTATTCAGTTGCTCCCAGGATCTTACAAATTGTCTCACAGACCACCAAAGAATACCAAAGGGCCGTGGGAAGAGTGGGGTTCCCCCTACTTCAGACAAAGTAGCTTTCTGCCTTTTATCTGTAAGATGGATCTGCAGAAAATTTCATTGAGAGGAAAAAAACGTTTTCCTATGAGAAAGTGTAAAGAAGACTGCTGTAAAGCCATCAAGGAAAACCATTCCCCAGGGATCTTCATGTGACCTTCCACGATGACTCTGAGAAATCTTATGGTCGCTAAGTTTACAAAATGACTCTACTGGAGCCGCAGAAAAATACTGTTAATTAAAAACTAACCGTTCGCTTAAGACAAGTCTTTAAAAAGGCAGGTTTAAAATATATCAAAATAATTTTGATTTTTTTAATACTGACAACTTAAATACTTCATGAGTCTTGTCAATGGTCTCATTTACATTACAAGGACCTTCAAGTTCACATTACAGGTCTATTAATATCAGAACTGGCATCTGCTCAATGTTTTGATTATTTAATTTTCAGACATTTAAATAATCATCTCAAAATGAGATTTAACCACAACGGTGTTCTCTCTTCTAGGTCTGATTATATTATGCAGCTTGGACTAGGGCATAAATCCGTAAGAGTAGGAGAGTCATCAGTAAGCTAAGGGGTCACAGAGAGCTACAGGCCAGCTGGCAGACAGTGAAGAATGCCGCAGCATGTGGAATACAGAGGTCGGAATTCAGGGTGGCCTGCAGTGTGACAATAATAGAAAAGTATTTTCTGCATCCTTCAGCGACATATTCAATGTCTGGTTAAGTTCATTAGGCTGGCCACGAGGTGTTGACAGCAGATCCCACTTTCAGAGACAGTGACACAGCCAGCAGAAGCACGGTCTCAGCACCACCAGCAAAGCACTCGCAATCACTACCGATCTGCTGCAAAATTCGAGGGGGTGAGGGGGGGCTGATAGGCAGGAGGAATCGCCTGGGTGATCAAAAATCTATAAACAATGTATTAGGAAAATTGGATATAACCAACCTGGTCCAAGATTCTTTGTGTAAGTGACCAAATCTTCCATAGTTTCCACCACTTCTGCCACTGTAAGATATTCCAAAATGCCTTTGCAAACTCTAATAATTTTACGAACCTGAAAATTTATTTCAGAGTATTCAGTAAAATGAATGGGCAAGTAATGAAAAACATGATAATACTGGTGTGCAGTTATTTAACGTGTACTCATCCAAAGCAAACATCCAAACCAAACCAAACTCACTGCCATGGTGCCAATGCTGACTCACAGAGACCTACAGGGCAGGATAGAACTGCCCCTGTGCATTTCTGAAACCAACTCTTTACCAGAGTGAAAGAGAGGCCCTTTCTCTTGCGGAGCGCCTGCTGGTTTCAAAGTGGGGACGGCAGTGTGATGCCCCACCAGGGCTCAATCCTCACCATTACCATCAAGACTGAGCTTTTCGTTTGGGAGAGGTCTACAATTAGCTCACTTAGCTCTCATCCTATGGGCAGCCTGTGAGAATCATAACCACATTTTTATAAAGAAAAAAGAGGCAAAGGATTATATCTCCAAATATTTCTTGAGAGAAGCCAAAGGGAGGCCTGTAACTAACTAAGCTAATAATCAGCTTCCAAGTCTAACCCTCCTGGCAGCTAATGAGGCAGATCAGCGTAGTCCTCAGATTGCCTACCTCAGCCTCATCAAAGGTCAGGAGCAGGTCTGATGTGCCGGAGAGGATGCCTCTTGATCCATCGATTAGGTAATCCCGAGCTGGCACTGAGTAGGGGTCTGCCTGCAGCAGCTGGGCTGCCTGAACAAGTTTGGTGCAAGCATTCTCAACCCTGTGGAAAGAAGATGGGATTAAGCTCACCGGGCGGCATCAAGCAGACACAGAACGCACCAATGCAAAGTACATAAAAAATCAAAACCAAACTCACTGTCATCGAGCCAATTCTGACTCATGGCCACCCGACAGGACAGGGAAGCAGTGCCCTGCGGGTCTCTGAGACTGACTCTTTAGAGAGTAACTCTACCAAAGTAGAAACCTCATCTGTCTCCAGCAGAGCAGCTGATGGTTGCAAATTGAACTTTTTTCCTTACATTAAAGACCACTTGATGGGATCTCGTTTTTTTCAGATATTAAATAAGAAATAAAGAGAAGAGCAGCACATTCACTCGTTCATTCAGTGCATTCAGTTCTTCATTACTTCCTGCCAACAAGAAATCATGAAGGAATGTTTTGAGCCTTTTACTTTGAGATGTTATCTCTGCGGCTCCTTCATTTCCTTACTCCTCCCCGTCCTTCACACAGTAATGTTAAAGGCATTGCACAAAGAACTGAAATGCTTAATAGTATTTTCCCATGTGACATCTGGAAGTATAATGGCAGAGCACTATGTTAAGGGAAATTTAATAACCAGATGACGCCAAAGAATAGGTGGAAACACAAGAAGAAAATTTGAGGGCTTGCATAAGATTTTCATTCATCTAACTAAATGATTTTGTTTGACCGATCTGTTGAACTATTTGATAGCAGGCCTATAAAATGATCTTGTTCTTTAAAAGTTGACTAGCCTTAATAACTAAACTCGATTGTATTATAGACCAACGGATCAGTCAAGGGTTAGGGAGGGTGGGCTTATTTATAAAATGAACTCAAAATACATAAACCTGCCATGTAAAATGTATTCGTTCATTCAAATGTTCTTTCATACAGAGTTCAAAAGAAACGTTATAATTAAAAGTTCAAATTCTGCTTAAAGTTAAAATATTTAGCCAAACTATACATTCTTATTTCAAAACAAGGAGACAAATAAAATCTCCCATACAAATGGAAGCCTACTTTCACAAAACTGTCCTCAGGATCAAATAAAACAATGCAAATGCCTATAAGTACAATGTTGGTTGTGCTGTTAATAAACAGAATTAAATCAACATAGGAATTTCAGCTATGCAAAAGGCATACAAAAAGATCATGGACACCAATAAAGAAAAATTAAAAATCCACCACAGTCCCTGCCACGGAGTCGATGCTGGCTCATAGTGACCCGATCGGACAAGGTAGACTTGCCCCTGTGGGTTTCTTAAAGTGCAACTCCATTTTTCTCCTGCAGTGTGCCCGCTGATTTCCAACTGCCATGCATGGGGCAACCACTATGCCGCCTGGATGCCGTGGACACCCGGGATGTACCATAAACACACATCAAGTGCTGGTCCAACTCCCAATACACACACTTCTGTAAGCTACACTAAAAACACAGCAATCAATAGGTTGGATGTAATGAATGTCAGTGTGGCATTTAATCAGATTCTTAAAGGTTTATCTTCCTTTTTAAATTAAACTTTAAATTACATAATATGTATATTCATACATCACACGAATAGTAAATACTAATATATTCTTACATAAAATACTAACCACATACTTCTACGTGAATGGCCACACACTGAACGTTCGGCTCCCATGCACTCAGATTACATCCCAGAAGTAGCAACTGTTACAAACTTCCCTCTGTAGTTTTCAAAGACCTCTTATGCACAGCGAAACAAAAGAATCTGCTCCCCTTCTTTCACACAGAGGATATGTTACACACTCTCCACACTCGGCTTTTTTCACTAACAGAGCTGAAGATACTTTCCAAACAGTGTGCCAATCCTCAACTTTTTTACATAACAGTCCCTAATTGCTTAGGTCGCTTTCATTATGTTTCAGCCCAAGTGGCCTGCGGAGGAAGTACCGGACGGCTAACGGCAAGGCCAGTGGGCAGGCAGGTCAGACCCCCAGTCGCTCGGAGGGATAAAGACGAGGCAATGTGCTCCCGGGACCCCGGCCCTGCTCCTCAGGACTGACCAGACGCCAGTGGGGCTTTGCGATCCTAAACAATGCTGCAAGGAATCATCTTTGATTCACACCATTTTTCACTCTCTGAGATACCTATAGGACATAGTCTAGAAATGGAATTGCTGAATTGAAGGTATGTACATTGGCTATTTTGATAAGTGTTACTATATTGCTCTCCACACAAGTCACTCTAATCCACATTGCCACCATCAATAGATGATTGATACGTACCTGTAACTCTGAGGTAAAACTGAGATTTTATAAAGGATATTTATTATTCGGATAATGGTGATTTCATTTGTTTCCAAAATATTTCTAGGGCTCTCGAATAATTTTTAAACTGTTGTGAGGGAAAGGATTGGTTCTTCCATTTCAAAAATGCTGCTGACCCCTGTGGTGGCCCCCAATGAGTGTCTCAGTACAGGTTCTTTTTATTGTTGCCGTTTTATGCTTTGCTGTGGTTGAGGACATCCATCCACTCAACACTCTGGGCTGGCATCCTTGGGGTCCCCGAAGGCATTCACCAAGTCGTGGTGCTTTTCTCACCCGCCTTCCCGAGTCGGTCCTCCCTCAGGAACAGGAAGTCTCAGCCCTGGGTTCTTAGCTCACCTTTCAAGTGGCCTGACCAGAGCCCACTCCTGAAGGAGATTCTTCACTAGTTTAAAAGATCTCAATGGTCTTATTTTGTACTCATAGGGTGAGTGAGGCAGATAAATTTTAAAAGTTTTATAAAATGCCAACTAAGATCACACACATAAAAGACTGTATAAACTTTACATTCTTCAGTTGAACAGAACCCATTGTCTACACTCCAGATGTAACCATTAGCCTGAAGTTTGTTGATTATTCCCTGGCTTTTCTGTAGCTATGTACTGCTGTGCACTGTTGAGTCAACTCCAACTCACAGTGAACTGTCCCACGGGTCTCCTGGCAGCAGCTCTTTATCAAAGTAAACTAACTGCCACATCTCCCTACGAGAGGCGGGTGGTGTGAGCTTGAAGCACGGACCCCTTTGGGTGACATCCAGAGGCTTTAATGACTGTACAACCAGGGCTCCTTTTATCATTATTATTTTTATTATTACTACTACTACTTAGATTTGCCAGTACTGGTACCTTTATCAAGATAATTATACCAAAGAACACCATAATAAATAAAATTGCTTAAAATTAATAATAAAAATATAATCTTAAAAGCAGCCGAAGAAAAATAACATTTATATACAGACGAACAAAAGCAAAAGGACATCAAGCTTCTCGCTGGAAGCAATATAAGGCAAGAAGACAGGGGGGCAATATCTTTAAAGCACTGACAGAAAAAAATCTTCCAATCTAAAATTCTATACCCAATGAAAACACATTTTAAAAAAAGCAAAATAATGATTTTATCAAGCAAAGGCTGAAGAATTCACTACTGGCACATCTGTCTTTTTATTTTTTTAAATCATTTTATTGGGGGCTCATACAACTCTTATGACAATCCATACATATGTCAATTGTGTAAAGCACACTTGTTGCCCTCATCATTCTCAAAACATTTGCTCTCCACTTGGGACTCTTGGAATCAGCTCCTCACTTTTCTTTTCTCCCCCTCCCTTCCCACTCCCCACTCCCTCCTAAGATCTTACACTGCCCGACATCTCCGTTCACCCACTTTTCTGTTGTCCGTCCCCCAGAAAGGAGGTTATATGTAGATCCTTGTGATCAGTTCTCCCTTTCTACCCCGCCCTCCCTCCTCCCTCCCGGTATCACCACTCACACCACTGGTCCCGAGGACACGTCTGTCTTACAGGAAATGTTCAAGTAAGTCCTCTAAGAAGGAAAGTGATAACGGATGAAAACTAGACGTACACAAAGCAGTGAAGAACAACGGACATGAAAATTATATGGGTAAACATAAAAGACATTCTTTCTTATTATGGAAACTTGGTAGTGTAGTGGTTTCCACATTAAGTTACTAATCACAAGTCCAGTAGTTCAAACCCAACAGCTGCTCCAGGGGAGAAAAATTAGACTGTCTGTTCCTATAAACATGAATTATCTAAAACCCTTAAGGAACAGTTCTACCCCATCCTATGAGTCAGAATCCATTTGATGGCAATGGGTCTTGTTGATTTTTCCCCCCTTCTTATTTAAATATATTTTTTAAAGTTTTATTGTCACATAATTCACATAGCATACAATTTAAAAGTTCAAATTATATTAAGAAAAGTTGCACAATCATCACCACAATCAATTTCAGAATATTTTCTTCTTTCTTGTACTTGTGGTTAGCTCCCCATTTACTCACAACCTCCCTTGTCATGCCCCTAAGTAATTATGAATTGAGTTATTATCTCTATAGATTTACCTATTCTGGATTTCATATATAGAAAATTATACAAAACAAAAACAAGAAATAAATTTAAGTTATTGGAATATCTTTAAAAGATAATCTACTAAGACTTTAGCAAAAAAAGGGAAAAGACAATCTAGCAACTGGGAGACTATATTTGTAAATCATATATCTGATCAGAATCTAATAACCATAATAAACATAAAACTTTGATAACTTAACAAAAAGACAACCCAATTATTAAAATGTACAAAGGGCTTGAATAGACATTTCATCAAAGAGGACATTCAAATAGCCACCAAATGCATGAAAAGATGCTTAACACCATTTAGCCATCGGAGATATGGAAATCCAAACCACTGAGACAGCACTTTACTTCCTCTGGGATAACGAAAACCCAAACTCACTGCCGCCACATCACTGCGGACTCATAGTGACCCCTCAGGACCGGGTAGAACTGGCCCCGTGAGGTTCTGGGGCTCATCTCTTGTCAGAAGTACAGAGCCCCATCTTTCTCCCAGAGCTGCTGGTGGTTTCCAGCTGCTAGTCTCACAGTGAGCAGCCGACCCTCGGGTAAAATAACAACAGACCGTGAGAATGTGAGGGAACTGAGCCTACTGCTGGTGGGAAAGCAAACATAGTGCAGATGTGGGGAGACTGCACAGT